AAACAAGTGAAAATAAAATGGTATCTAAAAGGATAATTAAAAGTAAAAGTAGCGAAAAAAAACTGCTAGATTATAAGGAGGTGTAGAAAACTAAAAACAAGAACATGCCTGCATTGGTATTTGCCATGAACTTAACAGATGTTTGAAGCCACTTAGAGAGGTCAAGGTCGAGAGCTTCAGATCTTTTGGCAAGATTCCAGGAAACATGAGCGGAGTAGGAGAAGGCCCTTTTGCCTAGTTCAGTTCTCAATGAAGGAACATTGCATTTAATAATGTCCTGAGAGCGCACGCTGTAGCTGCACTCACGCAGAGACATGTAGAAGATGTATGAAGGCAGCAGACCAAGAAGTGATTTAAAGATGAAATTGTACCAGTGAGAGAGTCTGAGTGAAGTTAATGATGTCCAGTTAACCAGTGAATACAGGGTGCAATGGTGGGTATTTACAGCCAGTTATGAATCTTAGTGCACCATGATAGACAGTGTCCAACATCTGCAAGGTGCTTGTAGGGGCGTTCATGTAAATGTCACCGTAATCAGTGGATGGAAAGAAAGTCACAGTATGAACAGCTATCAAAGAGCATCTTTGTCCACTTAATATAGTTGTCGTTTCATACAGTTTTCCACTCATTTGCTTATTTGCTATAGATATTGTGAAAATGTTCAATGACTTTGGCTTTTGAGATGTTGCAAATGCTGAAACGGTTAAATGCATCTACCTTTATAAGTTGGTGATTGGCCCACCACTTGCAAAACAAAACATTTAGGGTCATTGTTCAAAGTTGACATTTCACTTATTGTGTTTAAAACTTTGATTTATAAAAAATATTGTTTTTGTTTCTATGATGTTGAAAAAATCAGCAGAACAGTCAATATATTTTTAATGCATCAAAAATAAATACTCATTTGCATGTGATTGCATAAATATAGTACCATAGTGATTTTCTTTAAAGGCTGTAAAATCCCTCCCACTTCTAGATGTACAAAGATATTACTTTCTGGATTCAACTTAAGTTTATTAAGTTATTTAAGCTCAAACAGCATCCCCTGGTATCTGTCGCACAACTTCACCTAACATTATAATCCTTGTTAAACTAATTTCAAATAAAAAGTCAACTGCATTTAAAATCGGCAAACGGTACAAAGCAAGTTTAATTATTTAATACTGTAAAATAAAAGCTGAAGAGATTTGTGTTTGATTTGTTTAAGAATAATTCTAATGCATCATGCTGACAATAAACGGACAAACAGAAAATATGCATTGCAATTCATTTTTTAAGTTTTAATTTGAGTTTGTTGATGTTCAGACTGTAATGTCTGAACGTGCCACTACAGTACATATCAACTCACTGATTTACATTGTGGTGGCTCTCGTCTGTCTAGAAACCCCCAGCTGTTGAACTTCCTCAACATTTCCAGTTGCAGTGCTTAGTTTGCAAAGTGCAAAATGTTTTCTTGTCAATAAAGTGGCACCACTTGAAAATAACTGGTGGTTTCGATGCCAATTTAACATTGATCCCTTGCAAACACTGTACAAGTGTCACAATCTGATAACACAATCATATTTATTTTATTTAATACGCACACAGAGATGCATGGGAATGTGTGAACGCTAATGGCACTAATCCCACACAAACATATGTGGCTGTGTTTATGACCAGCCTATATAAAGAGCTAGACAGATTATGGTGCTTTTCCGTAAACAAAATCATTTATCAAGTTTAATTGCGGCTGCCATATGTATGTGCTAACACAGACAAGCACATACACATATTTATCCACACAAACAAATGCTCAACACATTCTCAGCCAGATGAATGTGTGGTTACAATAAAAAAAAATTAAAAAAAATCTCTACATCAGGGAAATCGTCATCTCCAAGTCAGATTTTCTGCTTCGGGCCCACAGGTGGTCAAGTGTGATTTGTTCAGAGGAGTTTATGTTTAAAAGCAGTTTCCACTCATGGGATTCTGCTGAGAAAAGTTTTCAGCCTGGCCTTCTGTAGCCTTGGATTTCTGGGGGTCTGCATGATAACACAGAGCACCATTGAGCCCAAGAGGCACCTCTCATGAACCTTGACCTTCGATCCTGAACATGCGAGTGTGAGATGCCGTCGCCATAGCAATGGGTGTCTTGCTCGGAAGTTTCTGCTAGGTGTCCGTGACAGTTCGAGCCTTTTTTTTTTTTGTTTGTGGGTGTGTAATGATGATGATGGTAGGAGGGTGTGAGAGAAAGTGTGGATGCATTATGAGTTAACAGACCCACATCTGTCTGAGGGCCGGCCTCATGCATCGTTTGGAGCCTCATGAGTCAATGGGGTCTTTGTCTGACTGAAATAATTCTTTGTCACCCGTCTTTCCTCAAGCTTCCACCTGCACAGCTCTTTTCTGTCATCAAACGAATTCCAACAACCTTGTTCCACCTGTTTGAACTCAAACCACATTAAGAAAAGAAAAAAAACTTTTAAATTCACTTGTCCTACTGAAGTACATTTGTTCTTTGATTTGGTAGCACCAGGCGACAGCCTCGTAAAGGACACTATTTTTTCATCATAATTAACTGTGTGTTTGAGACTCTGCTCTGGAAAATGACTTTAATAAGTGTCAGAACATTCATTATTACAGCCTATGATCTAATTCTCTATATGTGCAATTTCCTTTAGCACTTGCATATTCTTTTAATACAAGATCTTAAATGTTTTGGCAAAAAGAAAGCTAATGGTTTCCAAAGCAGTGTTCAAATTTGCCGTTGCCCTCATGAGCTTTTATGGTTTTTGTCGTAAATGTCTAAGTGATACTTTGGATTACTTAGTCGTTTCCTTTTCCAATTCTTTGGTTTCTGTATGATGTATTTAATTCTAAAAATTATTGCCTGTTGAAGCACTTCATTAACCCTGCCTCTGTTTGTTATTTTGACTTTTTAGTGTGAGTTATGTGGCATTAAGCTGTGAATTCACCTCTTCTCATTCAGCAAAGGCAAGAGACACTTATGGGACTTTAATGAACACTAGAATATTTTCCTTAGAGGCAAAGGTTGTTCATGTATGTGTAGGACCTTCAATTATGAAGGCGTCCAGTAGTTTTATGTGTGTAAAAGTAATCAAAAGTTGCCCTATTAACTCTCATTTGGCACAGCATCACAAAAAAGCTCTTTTATCTTTTAATGTGGTGCCTTTTGTATGTTTTTAGCGTGCTTTTATAAGCAGATGGCAAAAGTCTGATTGTTTACAGTAAATGCCTTTTTTTGACTAAATGTGTTGGTATATAGCATGAGAACAAAGTCACCTATCCAGATTTATATCCAGAATACATAGACAGCTGCATTTTTACCACAAAGAGCCAAACCTTGAAATAGAAGTAGCAATCATTTGTGAAGATTTATACCATTTCCGGCTTTATGAGGAATTTGCTGCATTGCAAAATCTTTACAACAAGAACCACTCCTCTGCGTCACTGTTACTAAGATTATTTTTCTTTTTGGTAGCTTTTGTGTGCCCCACCCTTGTTCTCTTTAATTAGACACCTGCTTTGACAGAAAGGCACAGAACATGATGGCAAAGGCATGAGCCCAAACACTGGTGCCAACCCATGCCTACTGGTGCACAGCCCAACCTGTGGTACACCACAGAGTTAATTTTGAACCATGTAATTTAAACATGTTTGTTTCAGTGTATTTAGGATACAACAGTGATCTTTAACATGCTGTGGACGGGCCGTCTTGCTTGGAATGCCAGCAGCGCACGAACTAAGAGTAAAACGGGAAGGTTGTGGGATAAAACCAGGCGAGACCTTTAAAACTTAAAAATCACTGCAAAGAAAATATGTTGACTGCAAACCATATTATGTAAAAAACGGCTTATTTTGGTTTAAAATATTGAATGGTTTGTGAGCAGGACTATAGATTAGGACACCTCTCTTCCTGAGGAAATATAAACTCTCTCCCAATTGAGTTAGACATGACTGTCATCACAATTTGACAGGGAGCTCAATGACAGCTAATCTATGTAGTCATGTCTTCTCAGACCAGTGTGTCTGTTTGAAATTTGAGCCCAAAACCACATTTTTTCCCCTCTGACTGGAATAATAGACATTTTCATCCAGATGTCACTGGATAGTATTTTTTTGTACAACGGTTCAAATCTCTATAAACGTACAAGTTGTTTTTTTCTTTTCAGTCAAACTTACTGATCCATTTCTTAAAGCCCTCTTGGCTCTTCTTCTACACTCAACCTTTGACCTGGGACAGTGTTAGGTTTGGGGCCCAAAGGTGCCACATCATGTGGAGGGCAAGGTTGAGGTCAAGGATCCACGAGAAAAATGCATTCAGCGTACGAGAACCCAGACACTCAGACGGGTAGATGAATAACACAGCAACCCACCCCCTGTGTTTCTGTCTGCAGGCAGTAGTTCAAACCAAAACACAATTTTGTATCCGTTCCCTGGCTTTTAAAGATTTTCTGCTCAAACTTCCCATGGGAGCTGCTGCAGCGCAGCGCCAGAGTTCATATTACCAAGACGCTGCCACGGCTGAGCTTGAGTCGTTTCTGGTTATTTCCTGAGCAACTGCCAGCGCAGACAGAAATGCACATCAGCAGTGAAATTCAAAGTCAAACTGCTGAGACATGAGGCTGTCTGGGTTAGTCATTATGGTGCCTGGCAGTTGTGTGTTTGTTTGTGTGCATTTACTGAGGAGAGTGTGGAGGGGGTGGACTGTCGGGCAGCAGGGAACAGAAAAATGTGTCCATATGGGAGAGCAGCGCCAGAGAGCCCCAATTTTCCATAAACTTCCACCCCCCACCCCCCAACTCCATCCCTAAATACCTCACACACATGCGTAGAAAGCTTGTGCACAATAACAAAAAGGCTAATGATCTGCAGACAGTTTTTGGTCTCATTCACAGTGGCAAAGTAACAATTGTGTATTTAAATGAAGATTTACAGAAATCTTAATCAATTGTAAGTTCTTGACCCCCTCTTTTTGCTTTTTCTCATAGGGCCCACCTGGTCCCCATGGGAACCCTGGCCGACCTGGTCCACCCGGGCTAAAGGTACACTTGCAGTCACTCATGAGCTTTTTTTTTGCATTGTTGTGTTTTCTATATCGGCAATAAAATAAAGGTGTATGATATCTGATGCATGTAGAATCAGGCTTATCAAAATTCATCCTGCAAGTTTAGGTGGAGTGGAAAAAAAAATACTAATACCAAGGGGGTCAGAGTTTTTTTTATCCAAATGTTAGGCATTGTAAGAATGAAAACAAAAACTCAAAATAAATCTGTCTAGTTTAAAAGTGTGAACAGAAGATCACACTGTATATAATAACATTTCTCCAGCTTCTTGTAACTGTCAGAATGAATGACATAGCAAACATCCTTGAACTTTCCAGGACATCCTTGTAAAAGAGATTAATAATCTCAATGGATTTCTTCCAGGTAAAATAAAGTTTTAAATAAAAAATAATAATAAACTAAGTTTGGATCTCAGAGTGACAGACAATCACTATTTTACATTTCTTTAAATATATGTCATGACCAGCTCCACTTACAGAGGCCTCACTTCAACCAGACCTGCTTGGTGTCATTTTTCTTTTAGTTTAATTTGTGCTTCACAGCTTTTTAAATAATTATTTCAAAATCATGTACTCTTTAGTTGTCTACCACCAGCATTGTTATGACAGAAGATGCAGCTGTCATCAAGCTGTGCTGTTGCACTTAATAGATACTGCAATATTTATTTATGATACATTTTAAAGCAACGCTCATATGAATGCCAGATCTGAACAAAATCAATTGCTTAAAATTGTCATTGTTGTTTTTAATACCGATAAGTGTTCTGGATGGTTGGTGAATACATAACTGCCGATTAAAGACGCATATAAAATAAAATAAGGCCAATAAGAGTTATTATGATGAAGTCTTCAGATCATAAGTTCACATAATGTCAACAACAACAAAAAACAAAAGAGCACATTAAAATGGCTCTCGATAAAGATCTAAATCCTGACTGGATGAAACAACATTTGAGTCAGTTATAGATGGGCTGGCAAAGATTACCGTAGGCTTCATCTTCCTGGTAGGTGTGTTGAAAGAAAAATGATGAGGTGTTTGATGTTATGGGGTGCACTGCAATTTTTGGTCCTTTCATCGTTAATAAATGAATCAAAGTTGGAAATGGCAGCGGTCCAAAGAGGAGACGGAGTCAGCACTCAGTGTAATTTCCGACCCTTGGCTTTGATGTGCTGAAGCCCTGTTATTGTTGCCTGCTGACAATGAAGCTGTGTGTGACTAAATGGGGGTGGGACGACTATATGGGCACTGTGCCCACTAAGAAGAGCGTCCATTTGACTGAATGAAAAGTCACTAAATTACATATGTCTGTTTTTTTTCCCCCTTTTATTCAATTTGTCTGTGTTAAGACTGTGTTAATGTTGTAAGTATGTGTTTGCTCATCAGATGCTCTTATATTTAAATCATGATAACCCATACAAAATTAGCCTTTGTGTTCATTTTCTTTCAGGGGAAAAAGGGAGACCCTGGCATATCACCTGTATCAGCACCTAAAGGAGAAAAGGTATGGTCACATCTGACTAACACACTACTTTAGTTGTTGCAGTTTCTTATTTTGCTGTTTTTTTGCACAGTTTGGATATTTGTGAGGCCTGAAAATGATAATGTTCTTTGACTTTATTGGTTTTGTTTTTCAGGGAGATTCAGGAATGATTGGCCTCGTTGGACAATCTGGCCAAGCAGGTCGAATGGTAAAAAAGTCTTTTAATGCCCATTTATCATCTGATAACGTGATTAGGCACAACGGTAAATTCCAAATAGAGATGACTGAGCTATTCTTGGTCACTTAGCTTTGCACCGTCACAGAATAAAAGAGGAAAAATGCTATGTCAGCCACAAACATTGTGTGTTTTGGCGCTTCTTAATACTAGAGCAATCTTTTTCCAAACTGGATCAAAGAGGAGCAGCATCCTGTCACATTTTGTGCAGTATTCATTACAGATGAGCCTTGCAAACATGTCGGATTTATTAAGTGGTTGACTAGAGCTGGTAGATGGTATGTACTGTATGTCAGTAGAGGTGTAAAGCACATCTGCTTGTATTCGATTTGTTTCCAGAGTCACAGTACCCTGAGTGTGTCAGGAGGTTTTCTACCTTAAGCTTTAACATATGGCTTTTGTTAGGAGGCTGCTTTTCTTTGTGTGTTTTAAGTGTTCGTTTTAATGTCTCTGCCTCTGTCTTTCACATACACACGCGCACACAGACACACACACACATAGACAGAATGGGGGAAAGAAATAGGGCTGGTGAAAATCATTCACAAGTTTTTTATATATATATATATATCTATATATATATATCTATATATATATCTATATATATATCTATATATATATCTATATATATATATTTTTTTGCATTTAAATCTTAGTTGTAGGTAACAGTAGATTTATCTTCTACACAGCACATACTATTCAAATTTATTGTTTTACTTAAAGGTGAATTCAACCAAGGAGACAACAAAAAAGTTCATAATTTGCTCTTTATCCCTATTTGCACTTAAACAGTCCATGCCTAGATTATCAGTGGAATAGCTTTTCTTTATACTTCAAGAGCCAACTAAGAAAAAATATGTTTTTGTGAAAGTGCAAAGTGCTGAAAGACTTTGCTGTAAGGACTGAAACACTAGCTAGCTATCAGCTAAAAGAAGCAGATTAGCTAAAAGCTTAAAAGGAGTAGAACAGCAGCTACAAGCTAAAAGAAGCTAAATGCTATAGCTAACAGCCAAAAGTACAAAAATGGTAGTTTAAACTTCAAAGTAGCAAAATGCAATTTAAAAGTAGCGAAACACTATATAAATGTAGCCAAATGCTAGCTAAGTGCTAAATATAGCAAAAGGCTAACTAAAAGTAGAATACTTGCCAAAAGCAAAAAAGGAGCAAAACAAACGTTAAACACTAAAAGATGCAAAACTCTGTTTAAAAAGCAAAATGACCCAAACGCAAACTAATTGGTAAATGTTGGTTGTAAAAGGCTATACAACCTTAAAATAGCTTAAAAAGACAAAAATAAAGACATTTGCCTAATCAGATTGGAGAGAACAAGGTTTTTGAATGAATTGCAGAGATCTGTATGTGTAAATGTAGGTAAATATTTTTAAAAGTTAGTTATAAGTTGTGTCACTGATCTCCTAAATGAGCTGAATATTTGATAAATAAATGGCTAAAATAACATAAAGTATGCATAGGTAGGTAGTTAGATTGCAAAATACATGTAGAAGAAATAAATACAGTAAACGAAAAACAATAGTGTCAATATTGACGCAAACTCTTCTTATCAGAGTGCCATCATAGCCCCTCATCTGGAGAGCTGTTACCATAGTAACTTCATCAACACACACAGGCGGTCATCACCAGAGCAGGCCTCATGTATTGGTCAGTGGCCACAGAGATGCTGATTAGAAAGAACATCTGTTACTTTTTGAGGAACTGATGTCCTTTCCACACAAACACAAAGGAGCTTCCACAGCTCAGAAGAATCTACAGTAATCCCTCTGTTGTGCTTTACTCTGGTGCTTTCGATGACTCTCCATCCTCAGTGCAGCCCAGTGACAGATATGAGTCAGTCGTCAAACTTCAGCGTAGTATTGTGGACTCAAACAGGCTCTTCTCTGTTCCTTCATGTCATCACAGGTGGAAAGTCCCAGTGCAGCTTTCTCCATTAACGCATGCAGTTCAATAATGAGCAGACATAAAGACTTGTTCGGCCACCATGAAACACCCACACGCTGTTTCATTTGACTCTCTTGCTGTTAAACTTTGTTTTATTTGCTTTGATTTTTGTGGTTTAGGAAAACAAGACAACAGCATCTCGCCTTGTGCTCTCAACTGTATTTTTCTTCCCTTCCACCTTCTTCAAACACACGCGAGTACACACAACCAGTGCAGGCTCTAAATCATCCTGCAGCTTGATGTTTCAAGCGGGAATTCTGGAATTTGGCTGCTGGTTTTCCATGGAAAGCTTTTAATGGAGAAAGCAGCGGTGCTTTAAAAGCATTAGAGGCCGAGTGTGATTTTACACCATCGGTCAAGCCAAGCATGTTCCGCTCTTTACAACATTTGTTCTACTAAGCAGACCCTGAATGCCTTTTCAGTATGGTGGGCAGGGTCAGGGAGAGGGGACATACACCGAGGTAAACCTCGGCTACAAGGCCACATTACAAGTTGCACTGCTCTGTGTGTCTCCACTGTCTCGTCTCACTTTTTGTCTTCGTTTTCTCTTCAATTATTTTTTTTTCCTCCTAAAGACCTTTTGTGTAGCTTTTCCTAAAGTAAGTGCTGATTTTCATTAGTAAGCAAATCAAATGCTAATTTTTAGCTACATATTACTGCCCTGAATTATTGCATCTGTTTTCTGTTGATGAATGCAGTCATCTGTCCTTGTAGCAGATGTGACTAGAAGAGGCATTATTCAAAGGATACGGAGTTATTGACTCATGTGGTTACACAGAACTGTAACTGAACATATATTAATCATTATACTGGGAAAACCATAAGTTCTTCTAGAACAGGGGCGTCAAACCCACTTACAAAATGGGGCCAAAATTTTAACCTTTTTCAAACCAAGGGCCGGTTTCAAAATCTACATTAACTCAAGTTAGATACCCAACATCTTTTGATGGTTGCAGGTTCCTCAACAAGAGTTTGATTGGTCACATTTGATGTTCTCTGTTGCACTTTTGACATCATAAGCAAAGAATACTGAAAAAAATGGAAGTTATTAAAGTATTTTACATTTAAAATAACATCTTGGAAGGCCAGAAAAGATGTCAATAAGGGCCCCATTTGCCCCCTGGGCCTTGAGTTTGATGCATATGTTATAGAACAAGTGCCTGCAACCTTTACAATCAAAAGAGCCATTTTAATGCCTTCGTTCACTACATTAAATAGGTCTGGAGCAGCAACAACCTGCTACAGCTGTGGTTATCAACTGGTGGCCCGTGATCCACTTTACTTACTTTAGTTTACTGGAGGGGCTTTTGTGGCCACTAGGGATGACATTATAAAGCTCAACATATCTAATGATTTTTAACATTTATTAAAGTAAAAGACCAGATTCTTGTAAAGAAGTGGGAAGAATACATTTTTACCATCTTTTTTTTTAATTCAAAAATCTATAAACTATGCAGACAGTTCTCCATATAAAGAAATAAAACATCACATTAAAGTATATTGTAATTGCTCCAGTGTTCACATATTTGCAAAAGAAATGACAGGAAAACTGTCTGAACTAGCCCTTTTTTCTTGTTTGTATAACCAATAAAGTTCAGTGTTATGTCAGTTTTGGTCAAAGCCTGACAGAGCCACTGCAGAGGAACCAAAGAGCCACACCTGGCTCCAGAGCCACAGGTTGCAGACCCCTGCTCTAGAAAGATAAACTACTGTAGATTAAAAAATAAGCATAAGGGTTTAATATAATGTCCCTAAAGTGGTGATATTTAGAAATCATCCCTTTTGTTTACCAGGATTTTCTATTACATTTATCCTATATAGACTCCAGTTGTAATTGTGATTCAATTAAGATTCCCCCCCCCCCCACCCCCCCCCGATCTAACTTTCATCAAAATTGTCCATTTAGGTTCATGCCATTGTTTGTTTGTCTGCTCCTGGCAGACGTCCATGTTTATGCTCTACTGTACATGCAGCACATGCTCGGCGCGATGATTACTGCGCAGTCTTCTGTCGACATGTTGTAAGAGCACTTTTGGAGAGCTGCGGGTGGAAAGATGAAGTTTAAATTAATGAGGTGTACTTTTTTTTTTCTCTGCTGCCAGCTTGTTATCCAGCGGAGGCAGACAGTGGAAAACACTTTAGCTGTCAACACAGCATTACTCTGCACTCAGTGGATCATCCCCTTACGGTACAGAGTTGCTGGTAACAACCGAGAGGAGTGTCATGTCACTGGCAGACACAATGTGTCTTCAATTTTGTTGCTAAATTGCATTTAGCTCTGCCCAGGGCGCTCCACAGCATGGTCGTAGGAGGGGCAGCGCTTATAGGGTGCTACTGGAGAGTTGCAAATGAAAAACATTCTGGTGGGTTTATCTGATTGCACACAGATGCTCATTATACAAGTGGCATTTAACCACAAGCAGACTGGTAGCAATGGTTGCTCTCATTAGTAAATTCATAATGAGTGAGATAAGAATCTGAGATGTAGCAATAGAAGTGCAGTCAATGCTCAGGACACACAGCATGTGTGTGGCTAGTTGATGCCAGTTTGGGAACACAAGACCCTACATATGTTTGTGCTATAAGTAAGCTATGTAATTAGGGGGGAATAATGAGGTTCACAAAACTTAGTGTGTGAATGTGGGAACATATGTGTTCACATGTTTCCAAGCGAGTGCAAGGAATTTGTCACCATTTCCTGGAAAGCTGCTGAAGGCAAACAGGAATGAAAATTCCATACTTAAGATTTAAATCAATAACAATCCAACTTATGTGAACAGTTAAACTTAATAAATAATGAAGGTACTGCTGTATAAATGAACTCCTGACAAAACAAAAAAATATTAATTTCATACCACAAATTAACTGTTTTCAAATAGGTTTTAAGTATCTTATATGGACTTTTAAAACTATATGGCTGAATGCATTTTGTTATTCCTTGCATTATTTAAGCAAACATTCATATTTTATTGGAATAAATAGCTTTTATTCCATGTCAGCCTTTGCATACTGTATGTTTTA